TTGTCATTCCACTTAGGACAATCTCGAATAAGATGTCCTTTTTCTCCACACTTGAAACATCCTGTAGAAGAAGAATTAGAGTTAGATTTTTTATAGTTTTTAAAATGCTTACCTTTGAAATTCTTTCTTTGATCTCGAAGAGATCTCTCAAATCTTTTTGCAATCATGCTAATTTCATCTTCATCATCTTCTACTGTTCCCTTAAGCGCCATGCCTTTTGCTGGTTCCTTCTCAGACTTAGAGTCAATCAGCATCTCATGAGTCATAAGGGAACCAATCAGCTGTTCCAGAGACAAGGTAGACAGATCCTTTGCTTCATATACTGCTGTTACCTTGGCTGTCCATGCATCTGTTAAACTACGCAATAATTTTCTCACAAGATCCTCGTCAGATAAATTTTTACCAAGAGATCTAAGATCATTTACAATAGTCATAAACCTACGAAAGCAATCATTGATTTTTTCATTTTTATTCATGGCAAACAATTCATATTTAGACATGATTAAATCAATTTTAGACCGTTTTACCTCACTGGTTCCCTCAAACGCAAGTTCAAGGGTGTCCCATATCTCCTTAGCACTACTGCAGCCAGATATACGATTTGTTTCGGTCTCACCTATTGCTTGTTGTAGTATTGACATTGCCTTAGCATTCTTCTCCAGCAACTTGTAATCAGCAGTGACCAATTCGCTATCTTTCTTGGGAACCTGGTTCCCCTCAACATCTGTCTTGAGAATGATATTAGGACCATTTTTAACTACGAGCCAGCATTCATAATCAATACCCATGATAACATTCTGGATCCTGTTCTTCCACCAAGCATAATTATTTCCATTAAACTTGGGTGACTTGTTGTCATAACCGATTGCACTTAATTCTTGAGTACTCATTCTTAACTCCTCTAGATGTTACTCTTTCGAGAAGCTTAGGCTCTGATACCAATTGAAGGTTCAATGGGCACTCAAGAGGGGGGGGGGGGGGGTGAATTGAGTGTTAAGTAATCGTTGGCTAATTTTGCTTCTTTTCGGATTATGTGTGAGGAACCAGTTGTGCTGGTTCCCGTACGCAGCGGAATATAAATAAGCAATAAAGAAGACAACAAATTTAACGAAATAAAACAAAGCAATAAAGAACACAACAAATTTAACGAGGTTCAGCCAACTCAGGCCTACGTCCTCCTATCCTAAGTTCTTTATTAATCTACTCCGAAAAACAAAGACAAAGAACACTCTGCTGTTCCCTACTCCGGGAACCAGCAAACCCCACACTCTACTCCGAGTGTGCTCTCAACTTACACTCGTAAGCCCAATATGTTTGAACTCACAAACACTCACCCAGCCTTTAACCCCTTTGTTAAAGACTCAATACAAGAATCAAGAACTCCCCTTTGATCTCACTTCTACGAAGCTAATTAAGAGAAAACGTTTAAGTACTAGAATGCTCTTGTATATGACTTGATGAATGGGATTAGTGCTTAAGTATATGCTCTCAAATAATTGCTCTTTTAATTTCTGGAGAGGCACACGAAATATGTGAAATAAGATGAGTTTATATAAGCTTAGATTCCTAAAACCTAGTTTCCTTAAATCACACAATCTTAGAGAATAAGATATAATGTAATTTTAGGAAAGTTTTTATCTTATTTGATTTAATCACAAAGATAGAATCAATTAAGATAAATACTCCTAGTTTTTAGGTAACCAAGAATATTTCATCTTATTTCCTGCTGCACAAAATATTTTCAAAATAATCTTTTCGAAAAAAAATCTTTTTGTAAAATCTTTTTCCAAAACGGCAGCTCGAATACAGTGAACCTGGTTCCCCGACCTGGTTCCCTGAATTGAAACATGTTATGAAACCTGTTCCAACTTTGTACCAGATTTCATATCATACTTCAATATACTTTTAAGCACTTATATAACCCAAACATGCAAGCATACTACGGAGCATATTACATGAAAACCTAGATAACATATTAAAGCATAAATCGTCTTTTCTTCATGTAATCTTCAAGACTTGAATCTTCCTTGAATACTTCTATTATGAGCAAACAATCTTTCTTCGAAATATCTTCGAAAGGCTTCTATGCTCCAAGTCTTGGAATCAACTCAACTACTGCACATGTAACATGGTTAATGCACAATAAAGAGTATGTGACTGCTTTACCACGTAGCAACCATGGAAACAGTACATACTGGTTCCCTACCAGTACATAACACTTTTATCATATAACTGTTCCCTGTATAAAGACAAGTTAGTTCAATAAGAAAACTCATGTAAGTAATAACTTGTCTGGGGAAACAGTGTTCTATGTTAGCTGGTTCCCCCAACTGTATCGAACACTTTCAAGGACCTGTTTCCCTTAGCTGTTTGTCATCATTCAAAACTATCAATCAAAACCTAAGGGACTCAACAAAAATTACTTTTAGCATGAAATTAAATAATAAAAATTAAATAAAATAAAACTAGGGAGAGACTGTTCAGGTATCATTGCGATGATGCTATCCAGCAACAGCAAAAGTGGACCTCAATGGCTCAATTAACCTCACCTTTTTCGCATCTTTTCTCTTGGTAGGTCCTTTCTACTCAATCTATGGCTTTATGAAATCCTTCTTATTCCTTAACCAAATCATGATATGATATGTCACCCACTTCAACAGGGGTTATGGTCTTTGGGTCCCTCGATCTTGTATTATTTGCTTCGTAATTAGTATCTAAACAATTTGCTGACCAATACTTAGCATAGTTGGTAGGGATTTCACCTTATAACTTTGAGATCATAGGTCTGATCCCTAATATTTGTAGTTCATGACAAAATGTTTTTCAAATACTTCCTCCCCAAAGGAGAAGAAATTGCAATCTCACTTACTTGGACTCAATGACTTGCAAAAAAAACGAAATGATCCAATGATTTGTGTTGTTAATACCGTGCTTCAACCTATAAGTAGGCGATGAGAAGTGTATTATCACAATTACATAAACAAAATTTCAATGATTACAATTTTTTGGAGAATAGTAAAACTTAAATAATATTTTGTAAATATTCTACGTGCTTTTTTACTCTAAAATATAGAATAATCGCAACAATTTTTATATTGATTGAAAATTATAAGAGTATTAATAAAAATTCTCACCCACCAATTCTCGCTCCATCCCTATCCCACCCTTCAATCATTCAATCCCCATAAATCTGAAATTCTCATCACCTAAACAATCACCCCGTTAAAGATACAAGTCTTTTCATTTCTTCTCACCTGGGTTTAATGCATCTGGTTGATTCATGAGACTAAGAAGAGAACTGTGTTATAAACAAGTATGGAGTGATTCAATTTTGGACCTTCATTTAATCTTACTGTTGCATGCAATTTATCATTGGATCCATCGTAAATGTCTTCCCTATCACAAAAATTGCATGTCCCACTTATTTAATTTAACTAGTGTAAAGTATTACCAATAAATTTTGACACCCTATTTTAGATTATGAGTTTTGACAGTAGAATCTTCTACATAGTTACATTGTCATATAAACAAGTGTACTTCAATCCAGTTAATTGTACAGAAATAAACAAAAGTGAACAGATGACATTTTTAAATCAGGATTTAGGCGGTTTTTAGCATATTTTCCTGTGCTTACATCTCTACCACTTGAAACTAGAGTCAAACTCGATTTTATATTTTTACTTATTTATTATTAAGGATCTTGCTAACAAGCGTCCCGAAGCGTTAGATAAGGGATTAATATATTGCTTAAAATAGTATTAAGTTTGGAATGCATGATAAAATCACGTGTCGATCGGTGTAATTAATGTTAATTTTACTATAATATTTCCACATTTAGTTATCTTATCTAACGCTCCAGGAACGCTCGTTATCTTTTGCCTGTTATAAATAATAATGGTGAACATACCGTCCTACCATCCTCATTTTCCCAATCTTCCGAATTGAGGTATATTTTTTTACGATTTTTTTTTTTTTTTTTTTTTTACAGAGATTTATATACCAATATAATTTAGAAAATTCACAATAGTTTATTGACTTTTAAATTTGTGTAACTAATAAGATTGTAATAAAGCATTATTACAAAAATTCTTATACCAGTAATAATGAGAACATCTTACATTCCCCTTCAAGATAAGTGGAATGAAAAGCAATTATGGACTAAATTATTGGGATGAGCTGATGTGCTTAATTTTCTCCATGCATGCACATCCCCTTATCAATTGGATTAGATTGAACAAGGTATTGAGATCATTATCCTTGCCATATTATTACTCCGTATTATAACAAACCTTTTAGAACCATATTCATCAATGAACAATTAATTCCCTTATTTTCACATTTTGATATCAAAGTTCAAAATTTTAAACATACAATACATATATATGTATTGTATTTTCAAATATGAAACAAAGCAATAATAGCTTAATTCGTAGAAATTTACTTTGTGTTAACAATAATAATCTTTGCATGGATTGACAAAGTATAAAGAATATTCATAGCTAAAGAGTATAGAATATCCGGTAAAAAAAAAAGTATAGAATGTATCACGATTTTTTAAGGATTAATAATATTCTACTACAAAATTATTTGTGATTGCAGTTGTTTATGCTTTCAAGGATAATTTCTTCATACTTGACACCCTTCCTATTTTACTAGATTTTGACTTAATCTTCTTCCTTGTTTTAATTTAATCTCAATATTATGCATTTTGGACAATTAGGAGCATATTGTGGATAAGATCTCAATAAATCTCAATTCTATAAATTTTTAGTGTGATCTATTATTTCTTATTTGACCGTTATTAGATCAAACTCTCAATCTTCTTTTGGACTTGTGTTGATCCGTTTTGATTGTCCCATGATTGGTCACATCCTCTTCTAATTTCCATGATTAGTTGGTAAATTTAGACCTAATTAAGTTGTTAATAATGTAGAATATAAAATTCCCAATTGAATGTTAAATTTTGGCAAAAAAGAAGGAACAATTTTACTACACTTCCATAGGCATCAAGCCTTGGAAAAAGTTTCACAAGCACAGCACATTAAAATAAAGAACAAAATGCTAAAAAAAAGAACTAAATAGCATTTTCATTTTGATTTTTAACAGCATATGCAAATTTAGCTGAATAACCCTTTAACTTTTTACCTTTTCTCCTTTATTATAATTATAAATTATAAATTGTCTGTGTTACCAAATTATTCTGTTTCCTCTTTTCAGTCAACAAATGATATGTCCATATGCTAATTGGTTCCTCTTTTTTTTACTCTCTTCCCTTCTTTCTTTTTTTTATTTTTTTTTCAATTTTTTTTAACTTTTAATTTTTAATTTTATCACTCTCATTTCTCACACTACTCTCTGTTCCCTGCTTCTGAAAGTTGCTAAAATCTGTAACACTTCACCACCTTCCTTTAATTTGTTGAACAAGAAAAGCCAAAAAAGGAAAATGACAGAGATCTTCTCCTCTTCTTCTTGATTGAGGTGACCATTCCCATGCATTTTCTACTATAATACTTCATTTCAATCACTCTCTTGTTTTGCAGCTATGGCTGCACACCAGGTATTTGTTAAATTGTCTTCTGTTTTTTCCCTAATTTTATTAAAAAAGATCTCATTTTTCTAAATGGGTTCATTTTAATGAAATGGGTATCTTTATTTCCTTCACCTTTTTACCAATTAAGTATGAAATTGTTGAATTTTCTCTCTACTTTCTGGGTTTTTTCTGGGTGAAATTTGGTTTCTGCCGACACTAAATTAGTGAAAGTTTTGATTTTGTTGAGTGCAGGAAGAGGGTTGGCCTCTGGGTTTGCAGCCATTGAATGTGAGAATTGGATTAGGAAGAGCTCGTGATTATTTTGGGTCAATGTCATTCAATACTACAATGCTTACTGGTTCACCAACTTCTACAGATTCTTCATCTGATTTAGACACCGAGGTAAAGAAAATAAAATAATGTTGCAGAATGTGTTGAAATGACAGTTAAATCACTGGTAAACTGTATATTCTGCTTTCTTTTTCACATGCTAAGATTGAAGTTTGAGGAATTATTAAGTTTTGATGCTTGATTGATGTGATTTTTCATGCATCTCAGTTTTTTGTTTCTTGCAGCATGTCTTCTTTTTGCATTGTTATACCCCATGTTTGATATACTCGTAATTGCTAAAATTCATAATCTGTAGGCTGAAAGTACAAATTTAGGTGATTGCTGGTATAAATTCACAGTTGTTGCTCTCATTATTTACGAATTAAGTAATTATGCAATGTGATGCTCTCTTTGTCTCGAATTACTTGACCCCATGATAATCAGGCTATTAGCACGCTTTTTGAAAAAGTAGAGGAGAAATGGGTGAACAAATGTGAGACCCCAATGGAGAAAAAGTAGAGAAAAAAAAGCTAAGCATGAAGGGAATGGGACCAATAATTGTAACAACCAAAAAGGGGAAATGGGGCAATTAAGTTAGGATTGAGGGATTATGATAATGGTGAGTTTCTATGTAGAAGAGAGTTTTGCCCTCTTGCTACTAGTTTGTTCAGAATGTGTCCGTACAGAAAACATTCAGTTTTCACCTACAAGACAAACAAGATTCAGGTTTAAAATTTGTTTGTTGGATTTTTGTTGAAAACAAGAATTGGAATTCCTTGATTACACTAAATCCAATTTTAAGCTTAGAAAGTGATGAAATGATTAATTTTGTTTGTAAAATCTCTTAATCTCAATCCTGTAGGCTATAGTTTGCCACACCATGACGGCATGACTTCCTTCATATAATCCTTATTAGTGATGGATCACTGGTAAATGTGGTTCACCAAGTTCCAAGAGTGGTTAAACGAATGTAAATGTCATTAACATTTTTCCCTTGTGTTTCTTAAAGTAGACATTTTGACTAACATCAGATATGATTTTGTCTTGCAAATGTAATGAATTAGATGACTTAGTGTATGGTTTTGCTTATATTGTGATGTTTAGAGAGTCTTAAAGCTTCTTACTCGTATTTGCCTCCTCCTACTGTTTTACTATTTCACTGCTGTTAGCCTGGTAGAGTGTTATATCAGCCAGGAAGGCTAATGCACACATTTCCGAGAGTGGATATTCAAGGGCATTTTTCGGTAGTTTATGGTAGATACAATATTATTTTAAGACACCCTGAAAATATAGGGAGATACTTTTAAGAAGAAAAGACAGTGAGAGTGGATCCTTGAGTCTGGCTCACTCTCAGAGATGAGTGAATTCTTTCTCTTCTAATAGTTGATGTTAAATTTTATTTAGTTAAGCACATGATGAATAATGATAAAGTTTTAATTTTATGTATTAAATCTTATGATCCTGATAATCTGATATTTAAGAAATTATATTGTGTATTTCTTTCATTTTCTGCTTTGTTAATTAATTCGTTGGCCTAAGATTTAACTTTTATGGCGCATGCCTGAGATGAGTAACTTTGTCTGCACATAAATCATGATACACCATTTTGGATTCTACTTTAACTTGCCTTCATGCTGAGGTTGTCTAGGCTTGAGGAAATATGCAGTCCTGAGCTCTAAGTGTATTCGATGTTGTTCAGAATTGCAGTAAATATATACCCATGTATCACATGGTAGTTGCAATGTTATATTAATGGCTTAACTCAGCAAGCATTTCTGAAATCATTTCATGCTTTAATTTCCCTTGCAGTCCACAGGGTCCTTCTTCCATGACAGAAGCATCACATTAGGAAGCCTTATTGGAGTTTCTAGCATTCTAGAACTTTCTAGAAGATCAATAAGGGGAAGAAGACCAGAACCACTCAAAGTCAAGAAACCTTGCAAAACTAAACCTTGGATATTCTCGCTTTGCTCGAGGGACAGTATAGACGTCAAGAGTTCTACCACTAGCACCCCATCCCTTGGCCAGTTTCTTGCAGTAGAGAGGAGGGCGGCTAATAATGAGCACAGGAGAAACCAGAGCCACAATATAGAAGTCCCAGATGAAATTTCTATGGCACAGCCCATACCCCAGCCCAATTCGTTATTTGTTGATGGTCGTGTGGCTCCTCCTCAATCAAGCCCCCAATCTGGTTCAGAATGCGAGGACGGTAACAGTGGAGGAATCGATCATGGAAACCATCATGGGCATGGAGTTCCTGTGTTATTTTCATGCATGTGTGGGCAGGATACTCACTGATTTAGCATAATTCATCTTCTTATTGGTTGTTAACCATATTTGTGTGTTTGGAATGTTACGTTGATGAAATTTCATAGCAGGGTCCATGGATAAGTTGGCTTTAGGAAGATGGGCATGTATGTTGTAGAGTTAGGTACATTTGTTATTCCTATATGCAGCAGTTTCCTTGTCTTTTGTTCATTCTGCCTGTCATTAAAGAGTGAATGTTGTGTATGAAAATTGTTCTTTCTCCGCCCAAATAATGCTAACTTCATGCATGTGTGATTCAGTTTGACATCAAAGGTCTAGTACAGAAATACATGATAGCAGATTAGCAATAATACCTAGCCTCAATTCCTTGCATTTTATATACACTCTGTTTCATACTCTGTAATTGGCTAAAAAACAAAAACAAAAAAAAAAAAAAAAAAAAATTGTACTCCAATTTTTCACAACACACATCATACAAACATACATCACCCGAAACTAGATAATTGATTGAACCCAAATATAGTTTGACCCCATTTGAAAGTGGACCGGATTTTTTTTCTTCATAAAATTAGTTTTCCAATAGATTGGTATGACCCGACCTAAGTTGACACAAATTGAATAATTCTTAATTCATCAATGTTGTTTTCAACGTAAGAATTCCCTCATGCTCCTTCAGGTGCATTCAACTTTTGGGCCTATATAATTTCATTCAATTTGTAACATAAATTGTCTTTTCTTAAACTAGCTCCATCAATATTTATTTTCATACGGAGGATACGCTAGATTTTCTTGGTGCGAGTGACAATATTGTGGTCCTAATTTGAAAGATGACCTAGTACAGTAGTAGTAATCACTTGTCAATATTAACAAAGAAACAAACTCTTAAACTTAATTGACTGGTCCATTCATTACCCTAACAGATCTCCAACTTGAAGAAGGATGAGAGCAAAACAAGAGTTCATATTCTGAAGAAGATGGATAATGGATAATAGTAGTTGTCCACGCCATACCTGCATTCCCTGTATGTTTTTACCATGATCCGTCTGTCAAAATAATAATCTCTTGGCCCTCCCCTAGGGGAAAGTTGTAGTGAAATTCTTCTGTCCCTATATTGACCTTAAGAAAGCCTGGTGGAGGCCCTACCATCACATGGCTAGGGCCCAGCCTCTCCGTATCAGGAGTGATGAAGGTACGTAAATCCTTCATTAAGTTCACAAAGTGCCTATGGAGGTTAGTTAGGCAACCAGACTCGCCTCTCAAAACCCTTCCATTCCTCGATAACCATAAATCCCATAGAACACAGATGAAAGTGTGGATCCGTTCACTTTGAAGACCATCCTCGCTATAAAAAAGCAGGACATATTTCTGGATCCAGGGTCCTAACGGAGTAGATTTATCAATTTCTGAGTTAATACCCAAAGAACAATTCTTCCACACATATTGAGCTAGACACTATTAAAAATTAAGGTTTTTACGACCACTTTTAACGGTCGCTGAAAATAATTCTGACCGTCAACGGTCGTAATGTGGTGGTTGTAATTCACTTGGTCGTAAAAAAAATTATTACGACTCGTTGACAGTCGCAATAAAAATTATGACCGTTTTCATTATTTTTAACGATCGCATGGAACATGGTCGCAATCTAATATTATATGAATAAAGTGGTATTTTTGGAGAGCATTCGGAGTGCCACGTAAGAAATATACTTATTTCGACCAATAAGAATAAAAATTTGTATTTTATTTTTGAATTAAAAAAGTATGTCGCCACCTAGATAAAAGTAACGAATTAGATTTGATATATCTAAAATTTTAATGCCACGTAGATTATAATCCACAAATTAAATTATTTTAATGAAAAAAAATATAGTAAAAATATAAGAAAAGATAAATTCATTAATTCAATAATATATATATATATAAGAAATCCAAAAAACAAATACTAAAAAATATTTAAATAATAACCGCTTATAATAAAGTTTGATACCTATCATTATAAGATAAATTTTGATAGTATTTATGATAAGAAATACAAATTATTTGTTAATTATAATTAAATTAAAATTTGTGATACCTACCATTATAAATTGACACATCATACGACACAAATAAAATTTCGTATCAATAAAAAACCCCATCAAGTGAATTTTGTGTTAATTTTTGGTCATCAATGGCTGGGTAATTTTTAGCTTAATTTTTAAAATCCTATGTTTAAATTAGTATTTCTAATTATTACTTACATTGTATTAATTTGGGATATTCAACGATTATATGTTTATGTTTTATTTACTAAATATTTTTTTACATGCTGATCTAACACATTATACGACACAAATAAAATTTCGTATCAATACAAAACCACATCAAGCGAATTTTGTGTTAGTTTTAGGTCATCAATGTCCGGGTAATTTTTAAAATCTTATGTTTAAATATATATTTGTAATTATTAGTTACATTGTATTTATTTAGGATACTTAACGATTATTTGTTTATGTAATGGCATACGATTAGATATTGTATACTTAATATATGGATGGCTTTGGTTATTTTTGGAGATAGATGATGAAAAAATTCCAATGCATAGATTTGATTTTATATCGCAATAATTTTTCATTTATTGATAAATATATTGACTTATTTTATAAATGTAAAGATTTAATATAACAATTTCAGTTTGGCTAACATTTCAAGGTTCAATTTATCCATTGATGTAGTAGGTTGGTTGTGGACGAGGTTGGTGATTCTACCGAAATAAAAGATATGGTAAAACAATGAATAATGATTTAGGATTTAAATTATTAAAAAATAATCATTTCACATTAAAGATTTCATATAACAGAAATTATATTTATAATTTATTTATATTTAATAAATTCATTATAAATTATAGTAATAAATAAATAAATATTAAACTTTTGTAATTTTGCCTGAAATTATTAAATACAATAAATCAAATAATTAAAAATCTTATTAGAAAAAACCAAGCATCGCACAGGTTTCCATCTAATTTATTATAATTGCGACTGTTTTTTTATAGTGGTCGTAAATCAGAAAATAGTAACCGCTTTAGGCAGTCGTATTAGTTTTTAAGAAAATAAAAAAAAAAGAGAAGAAAAGATAAAACCGCACTGACTGCTTGTACTTCGCATCCAGCCCCACCACTATTCCCACCCCACCCACCGCCACTTCCCCCCAAACCACCTCTACCTACCATCGCCGCCCACCCTAAACAACCTACACCCACTATCGTCGCCCACCCTAAACAACCCTAAAAAAATAGTCCTTAAAAAAATCTACAAAATTAAGGAAAATAAAGCAACAAATAACAAAAATATGAACAAAATCAACAAAACATTAACTAAATCAACGAAAATATGAATAAAAATCAAAGAAAATATGAACAAAAATCAACTAAAATATGAACAAAAATCAACGAAAACATGAACAAAATAACCGAAAATATGAACAAAATCAACAAAAATTCGAAATTAAACACAATGTGAACGAAATTCGAATCCAGTATGAACAAAGTTCACGAACAAAATCAACGAAACTCAAAATCAAACCCAAAATCAACAAATTTCGAATAAAAACTCAAACAAAAGATCGAAAAAAATAAACAAAATTTGTATAAATATAACCATGGAAATTCGAATAAAAAACGAAATAAAACCACATACCTTTCCCAATATTTCTTCTTCTTTGGGTTTATATGGTCAAATTCGACCATAAAAACTCCAAATCTGGAATTTTTATGGTCGAATTTGACCATAAATACCATCATTATTCGTTTGTTCACGAAAATCCGAACACCCAAAATAGTTCGTTGACGAAAATTCGAAGAAAAAGTAAAAATGAAGAAGAAAAAGAGAACAAAAATGGAGGAAATAGTGCTGCGAACGGAAAGTGAAGGAGAAAGGAAAGAGAGAGGAAAGAAAAGGAGATAGAAATAGAACGGAAAGAAAAGAAGGATAAAGGAAAAGAACGCGGGAAAAAAGAAGGAAAGAGAAGAGAGAGAAAAGAAAAAGGAGAGATGAGCGGCGTGCTGAGTGAGAAGATGATTAGGGTTTGGGAGATTGGAATATCCTTTTATACCCAATATAATTTTTAGCGGTCGCTATTTACGACCGTTTTTATCAGTCGCAAAAAGGTTATTTGTTTTAGAATTATTTTTATTTGTTCAAACATCTTTGTGACCATTTAAAAGGCCAAAAACCGTCGCAAATTTGCGACCTCTTTCTAAACGGTCGCAATATTGCGACCGCGTAAAAAACGGTCGCATATTTCATATATTGCGACCGTTTTCTTGACGGTCGTAGAAAAACGGTCGCAATTTAACCGAATTTTAGTAGTGAGAGAGCACAGTCTAAACAAATGTTGTGTACTCTCTACTTCTTCCCACAGTAGTCACAATCCTCTTGTACTGACACCCCTCTATTGTACAGGTTTGCCTTCACAGCCAAACCATTCATAACCAGCTTCCAAAGAAAAAAGCTCCATTTTGGAGGTATGTGCAGTTTCTAAAGTACTCTAAAAATTCCCTCTCAGTAACTGTAAGTGGTCCATACCCTGAGTAGAGGAGAGATAAGCATAGCCTGTTTTTAATGTGTAAAAGTCAGTCCGATGATGAAACCAATATAAGAAGTCCCTTTCCTCCATTGCTGGTAACTCCATGGCTAAGATGCGTTGTGCGGAGTCCCAATCAAACCTTTCCTGAACAATCGTTGCATTCCATTGCCGTTGAGGACAAGGTAGTAGTAAATCATTGACTCGGCCATACCCAACACCGCTTAGGAATTGGTTTGAATGTAAAAGGGGGATACTACCATTAACCCATCTCATATTGGCATATTTCACTTGCTCTCCATTGCCAATCTTCCACACAAACCATGCGATGAATTTGTTAGCCACATTGTGAATTCCGCGATGTCCCCAAGAAGCATTTCCACATAAGGAGGAAATAGGATGTCCCACACACAATGTGCAGGAGTGAGTAGGGTTATAAGCACGAGAGACTAACAATTGTGGATTACAGTGCATACGGGATACCTTCGTAAATAACAAGGCATCATTTAAATTATCCATAGATCGTATTCCCAATCCCCCCATACCTTTCAGGAGATGGAGTACATCTTTTCTTACCCAGTGCATACTTTTCTCGCCGTTGTTAGCCCACCAAAATCTAGCTATGATTGCATGAATATAATCTTGTTGCAGATAGATAACGGAAGCTTAAAGCACTTCATCACATGTGACGAAATGCTAATGAGGATCGAGTTAATGAGGATAAGCTTTGCCGCTTGAGAAATCCT